TGAACTTACTGATTCCCAAGATTAGGTCTGTATGACCCAGTTATCTAGAGAATTGAGAATACCAATTGTACTACGCAGATATTATATGTGAATTTTCAGGAAAGCATAGCTATTCTGTCATGAAATATTCAGAAGGGTAAGATGTTTATTCCTTAGCTTCAAGTGGCTTAATTTTGCTTGTTTTCCATTTCATTGTGTTCTATGTAGACCTGAAACTGGTATCTTTTATGCTTAAAAAAAAAAAGATATTCTATTAGATCCTAAATTTTTTTATGATGCAAAATAAATGCATCTTTGACCACTTTTATTTAAACCTTTGTATTGTGGAAAATTTCAAGCATTATATGTAAAAGTAGAGAGAATAATAAAATGATCTCTAAGCTTAAAATGATCAATTTATGGCCATGACCCCAGCCTCCAATCCCAGATTATTTTGAAGTAAATGCACAACATCATATTGTTTCATCTATAAATGTTTAGTATGTAGCTCTAAATACAAAGATTCTTTTAAAATTATAAACACAATGCAATTATCGTACTTAACTAACATTACTTCTTCAGTATCAGACAGTATCATCTACTGAGTTTTAAGCAGAAATCTTACAGAAAGGCATGCTGATGAAAATTGCTACAGGAACTGTGTGATCTCTTCACCACCAAACCCCCTCCAAGGCAGGGATGCTTAAGAATCAGATGCACAAAAGTTCTTTAAAGGACTTGAGACTGAACTCACATGTCAAAACCTCCCCGGCTGCGGAGACAGGGTTGGATTCTCCAGCACTGTTGACTTTGGTCTGGATGTTTATCCATTCATTTTTCAGACCTCCAGTCGCTTGTTTATCTTGGCCATCCTTTTCCAGCCCGAGACTTCCCACACCCTGCCATCTGGCACCCTCTCTGGTTTCATTCCCACAGCCTCAGCTCTGAGCAGAAACCTCAGCAGAAACTCAGATCCAGCAAAAGGTCCTGAGCGCTGGGCCCATGCTTCTGTGCCCAGGTCCTCCTGCAGGAGAGGAGGTGGCAAAGGAATGTTTGGAAAGGATCTTCAAGCTTCATTACCAAAGAGTGCAACTCACTCTATTCTCAATCAATAGATTAGTAGTCAATAGATATCTCAGTGCTTTGATGAATGTCATCTTATGATAAGCTTAGCAATGAGGAACAATGACAGATATCAAGGGTCAGAGCTATACCCCCTGTTTTATTTATTTATTTTTAAATTATGTCACTGAATATTCAATTCATGTCCCTAGACTTGCAAATTTCTCTAGTCAAGACAACAACTTTTTTTTAGCTGTGAGGACTTAAACTTTAAAGTTTAAATAAAAAAAAAGTTTATTTAGATTAACAGAGTATTTTTTTTTTTTTGATGGTAAAGAAGGTTGGAATTAATCCCATGCAAACTTAAGCAGCTAGGTAAGTCTACTCACCATATTGTAAAAAGGTCTCCCACTTTCTTGCTGTCATGGGAATCTCCTCTGACTTGTCAAACTTACCAGTCCTTGAAGGGTCTACTGACCACTCAAGCCAAAGAGCTTCACCTCTCTAAGTTCCATAAGAACAACACCATCTATACTACCACCGCCACTACTGCAATGTCTATCATATCCTGAGAACTCACCATGTGCTGGGCACTGTGCTATGCCCTTAGTGTATTATCTTATTTAATCTTCACCACAGCTCCAGGAGGAAAGAGCTATTAGCATCATCATTTTATAAGTGAGCAGAATAAGGAGAGATTAGGTAAATACCCCAGGTCTTAGGAATGGTACATGACAGTGCTAGGCTATGTGACTCAGAATGCCTCCCCTATCTTGAAGGTACCTTGCCTTAAAAAAGTCATATTCTAGCTTGCATTGTCAATAACATGCTTATATATACATTTTTGTACCCTTTCCTTAACATAGCTGATATAAAATTATTTGGCACAGTATATGGCAGCTGTAAGTACTTGGTATTAGGCCAATGTTGGTCATTATTGTTGTTGTGATTGTTATCAGTAATTATTTATAGTGTAGCCCTGAATAGTCTCACCTCCATGCTGGGTGCTGTTGCAGATGTAGGAGCATGGGAGTCTGGGCTTACTGCTGCCAGATTTAGCGAATAAAAATATGCGATGTGATACTTGAGACATACCTATACTAACGAGTTTTTTGTTGTTTATCTGAAATTGATATTGAACTGGGCATCCTGTATTTTATCTGGCAGCCCTAGTTGATGGTCTTAACAGCAATCCAGAGAAAAGAGCGCAGCACTGTGTAGAAGAACGTGTTCCCTGCTAAGCCATATGGTGCTAATTAGCCATGTTGCAGGAATTCGCAGAAGGGAGGGCACAGTGTGTGCTGGGCAACCAGAGGGGGCTTCACGGAGGAGGGGTGGCTTCCCAGTCTGGCAGAACGGGAGTTGTAAAGGCTCCTAGGCTTATAGAAAGGGTTCATGGAAATAGCAATAGACCAAATGACTTCTAAAAGGTGCTTATTATGGAAATAAATTCCTAGGAATAGAGCTGGAAGAAAGGGATGATACCCCTCTAAGTTGGTTTTGAAAGTGCACAAAACAATAAGCCATCCACGACATTAACCCAGACTGGCCCAAGCAACACAGTTCCTGCAAGGCTAGAGGCTTCTGCGCTCCTGGTCTCCTGTCAGGGGAAGTGGAATAACCACAGGTCTAACTTAGAGACCCACCAGGCCCCAGACAGAAGCAGCCGAGGTGTGCTGAGGAAAAGGATAAGACTGAGCTTTGCTGGAGAGAAGAAAACGGAGCACAACTGCTGTCCCGGAGGGATGCTTCGTCTCCAGCAGAGGGGCTGCCCTGCTTCACTCACATGCTGCGAACTCAGAGCGATCTGTCCAAGGGGCAGAGCCATCACTCAGTGCCTTTGTGTGTCAGGCACTGGAAAACATGATATAATTTACTTTTTATAACATTCCTATTTTATATTGTTATCTTCATTTTACAAAAGAGGAAACAGAGGTTCAGGGAACATGGGCCATTCACGGCAGGTCACCCAGCTAGCAAGTGCAGAGTCACGGTTCAGATTTAGGTCTGCCAGATTTCAAATCCTGTTCCTTTTCTCCTCCACCACCCTGATGCGAGTCTCTTTTCTGCCAGCTATCTTTAAGGAGGCAGTCCTGTTGTCCTCCACTTAAGGGACAAGGGCCCTTTCTTCTGGCTCAGATTGGTAGCCTGGGTGCTAGTCAAGTCTTCATTCCGTCCTTGCGTGCTCCTCTGCATCCCTCAGGCACTTTAGCTGGAGCTTTAGAGGAGTCCTCAGCACCTGCAAGGCCCCCCTCACAGGCTCCAGTCTAAGTTAGTGACTTCAGAGGCCCCGTTTTCCCCCAGGCCCTCTGTATTTGGTGTCCCCACCAAAGAAAGGAGGAGAGTAAAAAATGCATCTCATTAAAAGAAATTTCCAGGTGCAGGGAACAAGATCCAGGCAGATTACAGGTCAGGGCAGGCTAGTCACTAGTTTTTGCAGAAGTCTAGAAGGAGCCCACTTTTGATATGGAGTAGAAGGAGGGACACTTCTAATCGTCAAGAGCAAAATGTTGACGTTGAAGGGCTAGGAACACTATCTAATTTATTGGAACATGTTTTTCTAGCAGCTTTGGGTTAGAGCTGTGATTGCCTCCTGCAGGGATCTGTGACCTCATCCTTCCTCCTCCACCCTCCCCGACTGTAACTATAGGGTTTTCCCGTTATAACCTAACATATGGTTTGCAGCAGGAAGTGCGAAATCCCAGGAATGAGCACAGGCTCAGGTTTCAGACTCTAGAGAGACTCAGGTGAGCTGCAAGGAATGGCCTTTGTTTCATATAAAAACAGAATTGAAAAGAGAGTGTTTAGTGACCCCTTGGTTTGGAATGAGGTAATTAATTCTCCAGAAACTTCCACCAGTTTCCTGGGCAACAAAATCAACGTGTTGTTGCTAGAAAAACTGGGGATAATAAATTGGTTAAAATGACAGATTTTCGTTTTTTAAAAAGAGAGATTTCTTCCTTACCAACCCAAATGTAAAACAAAACAAAACAAAAACAATCCCAAACACCACACACACACACACACACACACACACACACACACACGCACACTTCTCCCTCTTTATCCTTTGACTCACCCTCACTCTTTAAAAAAGTTTTAAGTTTAATGCTGCCTAAGTATTATTATGCTTGAGAAGATAAGAAAAGAGAAAGGCAGATCAAATCTCATGCATAATTGTATACAGAGCAGGAAAGATTTTGGATATTTTTCAGGCCAAATAGTCTCACTCTGAGTGGGGTGATGGTAGGGTCAGCATACAGTATCAGAATTCTTGGGGTTGTCAGAGGGAGGGAGCCAGTATGAGATTTTTGTTTATCAAAAAACACTGAGTTCCTTCTGAGGACGTGAGGGGAAAAACAAATAAATAAATAATTTTTTTTTTTTTAAAAAAAGCACTGAGGATTTGAAAAAAAAACAAAAACAAAACCAAGATGGAGATCTACTGGCTTAGGTTGTCTTGGCTTTTTCACCATTTTAAAACCAACTAAGTAAAGTTTTGCTCTTTAATGGCCAATTTAAGAACTAGGTAAATGGTGAGATCTTCTCAGCCGCACTACTTAGAGCACTTTCTGAACTCCAAGTTGAAATCAAAGCCTATTTTTTCCCCTTCCCCTTCTCACTGGGGCATCTGGGAATTTCTTATTGTGTAGCCTGAGAACTTAGACTCCAGAGCCAAACTGCCTTGGTTTATTCTGGCTCTCTTACCTTCCATTTCTCACCAAATTTAGGTTACCATTGACTGTAAGATGCATCATTATTTTCAGCATCACTAACAAAGAAAAAAATGCTGCCAATTAAATTATGACTCAATGCTAATATGCCATCAATTATAGGACGTATCCTAATTTCAATGATGTTAACATTTGACAGAAATTTATCTTATAATTGATGAACTATGGTATTTGTTTAGGAAATTTAATCTTCTTCTAACTTAACCTCTCTTTGTTTCATCTTCTAGTTAAAAAAATGAGAATATTAATGGTACCTGCCTCATATAAGGTTGTTGCGAGGATTCACTGTGTCAGTTCAGGTAAAATGCTCAGAATGTTCCTTGGCACATAATAAGTGCTCTATTAGCTATTGTTATTATTTACTAAATACCACTCAAATTGACAAATACTTGCTCAATTGAAGTGTGGAGGTTTTCCTGGTTGTCATTCTGTTAGGGGAAAAAAACAGCACAGAAACACCCACACATTGCAAACCATGATTTTAAAGAAATAAAAGTAGGCGACATTGGGAAAATGGTAACAGATCGTTTCTCTCTGCCTTGGTCTCTGGGTGATTTCTTCAAGTACACCCTGGTTTCCATAGAAAAGTGTCTGGCTTGTCTGGTAATTGTTCTGTTGTGGGAAGAGTCTTTGCATTCATGATGCTCTTGTGGATTATTTTTGCCAAGTTTTTTGTTTCTCTAAGCACTTCCTGGAGCCACCCCAGCCATAGGAGGATTCTGACCTGACAGGGATGCCAGGCAGGGTCTGATGCAAACATTCCATGCTGTGCATGGGCCAGATGGTTCCACACAGCAAACACTGTTATTTCATTCACAAAAAGTCAAAAACAAGCTGATTTTGCCATTGTAGGCCTAACGAACGGAAAAGTGAACAGTCCTATCTTGATATGCAGGCCCATCTTGACGTAACTCAGTTTTGCAAACAGATGAACATAGGTGCAAATGAGAATTCCCAAAGGAATTTCTGGTTGGATGTAGATGGCTCAGAAATAAAACCCATAAGGGCAAGGCTCCAAGTCCACATATGTTTCCCAGTTTCTTGGAAACTTTTGCATTTTGTTGTTGTCCTTAGCCTTCTGCTATCCCTAACTTCCTCCTGAGGTTATTGAAGAAATAGATATTTGGATGATTAGCATGTGATCTAGCTGGCACAGATTTAAAGGCACATGGCTGTTTTTATACTCAACCAAGTTTCATCAAAAAAGAAGCTGTGTGGGAGTTGGCACACTGGGACTTAGGATGTCTAGATCCAGACTTTGAAAAAACACAGGACTGGCGTTTAGGAGACCTGAGTTCTGGCCTCTCTTTTGGGTGACTCAGGTGTCACTTTTCACCATTGCCTGGCCCTAAATCTCTATGAGTGAGGAACTTTGTAAACATCTGGTTCTGTTGGGCATCTTTGAATACCCCATGATGGTTGATCTTACATGCCAACTGTCTAGGCTATTATTTGGTCATATACTAGTTTGGATGTTGCTGTGAAGGTATTTCGTAGATGTGGTTAGCCTTTGCAATCAGTTCACTTTAAGGAAAGTGGATTGCCCTCCATAATGTGGGGGGGCCTCATCCAATCAGTTGAAGGCCATAAGGACCGTGACTGAGGGAGAAGGAATTCTGCCTCAAGCCTGTAACATAGAAACCCTGCCTGCATTGAAATCCTGTTGGCCAGCTCTTCAAACTTCAGACTCAAGCCTACGACACCCGCTTTCATTTGAATCTCCAACCTGCAATGCAAGCCCTATGAATTTCAGACTCGCCAGCCCCCACAGTCGCATGAGCCAATTTTTAGAAATAAATCTCTTTTTTTCTCTCAGTTAGAACCATTTGCCCTGACTCACCTTGCATTTGACCTCCCTACCTGACCTTCTCAGCTCTGACTTCTTTTTCTGCTCTTGCCTCGCCCCTCAGCTCTACATCTCCAGCTTTGACTTTGTGCTTTTCTCCTAGATGACCACGATTTAAACTTTCTTTTTTGGCCCCGGGTAATGTTTATTTCCATGAATAAAACTTTCTTTGATCTGTTTCCAATCCTGAGACCTCACAGATTGATCCAGAGGGACCTGGACAGGTTCGACCAGGCTCAGCTTGGTACAAGCACAAATGTCCACATGCTCGTGGCCTCCAGGGCTTCAGCCTTTTTGTGCTTCAGTGGCTTGCAGCATTCTTGTCCTACATACTTCTGCTCAGAAACCACGTTCTTTACACTGTGTTCCCATACTTTGACAAAGGGTTAAAAAACAGTGGGACTCATTTCCATCTCCTGGGTGTTGAATTTCTTATTCATGTCACAGGAGACATGTGATTACAAGAGGACATGTTTGTTAATTAAAAGGGAGTGTGTATAATCACCTTGCATTTATTTGCTAGGGTGATTTTTAAAAGTACAGGGGTGTATGTGTGTGTATATAAAGTTATTTCACAGCAAATGTTTGCATAGCTCTTGGAGATCCATGGAAAGACGTTGTTTGGCCCATGCCAAGGATTATTAGAAATACAGGCTTTGCTGTTGTTGGCCCTACTGTAGAAGACTCTTATCATATAACAAGTGCTTGCCTTTATAAGGGGCACCTCACAGGAAGTCTGGGGCATATTATGGCTTCAATGCATTGCCCAGCTGTCAAAGTCTAAAAGGTGCCTATATATGGTCTCTCAGTCTGCAGTGTGTTTAAGACATTTAGATGTTTTCCTCTCCCTTGTACTCTGGTGGAATCAGGCTGAGCTCGTGTTATATAACACCACCGACTCTCTCTGTAATGAGCAACTTCTAAGGAGGAGGCAGCAGGGGGAACAAAGCCACCTGGCCTTTGCCAACCCCTCTGTGCTCTGCCAGTGCACCTGCAGAGAGCTCCGAGGGCTCGGCCTGGAAGAGAGACTGCTTATTATGTTTCATTGTGGGAGATGACACGGTGCCTTTCCAGGACAGGCCGGACTAAAAAAATCTCTGTCTTTGTTTCTTGGCCAAGTTTTAACCGAGGTCTCCTAGGACTTGGGGATCATTAAGCAGCTGCCTCGTTGAACCTCTGCTTTTCACTCTCACCTCACCTGCTTTGAGAAATTTGATCAACTCGGACAGAGACATGAAATATTCATAGGAAGCTCCCAGTGATCAGTGTCTCAAGAGCTTGCAAGGCTAAATTGGGCAAGTGTCACGTGTTGGTTTTACACCTCAGAGCACTTGTCCGTGGTCCATGTCTGACGCATTGGAGTGCTAAATGAGACTGGAGTTTCATCACTATGTCTTACGTGTAAGACAAATATCACCCTCTCTCCCACTGCCTGCCATTGTTGGAGTGGGAGAGGTTATCAAGCCCTTGCTGTGGAGACAGAAAGCCCAATTCAAACTGGTTTCAGTGAAGAAGGAAATGTATTGAATCGACTAACGAAAAAGCCCAAGGCTAGGCTTGCTTCAGGAGTGGCTGGCTTCATGGCTCAAATGAGGTCATCGAGACTTGGTTTCTCTCCATCTCTGGGCTCTGCCTTCTGTTCCATTGGCTTCGTTTTCAGCCAAAATGCTGAAAGTGCCCCAGCAGTTCCAGACTCCCCCTTGTGGTGGCAAGATGGCAGCAATAGTTCCAGCCCCTGTAGTATAATATAAAGCAGGGTAGACAAATTTTTTCCCTAAAGGTGCCAGATAGGAAATATTTTAGGTTTTGTGGACCACGTGTTTTCTGTTGCAACTCTTCAACTCCGCTGTCATAGTGCGAAAGCAGCCATAGATAATACATAAATGAATGAGCATGGCTGTGTTCCAATACAACTTTATTTACAAAAATAGGCAGTAGGCCGGATTTGGTCTGCCAGCAGTAGTTTGCCAACCCCTGTAACTGTAGCGTTGCTGCTGGAAAATGAGTGCTCAGCCTCTCTACAGGACTAATCTTCTGGTTTCCTTGTAATTGGCCACATGACTAAGTTCTTGCCGATGGAACGTGCATGAAAGTTGTTTGGATGATTTCAGGGTCAAAACTTTTAATAAGCAGGCATGCCCCTTCACACTCTCTTTACCTGATGCAGCTGAATGAAGATGATGATGAAGTTTTAAGAATAGTAGAGCCACAAGATAAAGGATTCCAATTCCTGAATTGAGTGTGGAAGGAGCCTCTTAATGATCAGGACAGTTATGTGAATGGGAAATACATTTCCACCATGTTTGAGTCACTATACATTTGGGGTTTATTTTCAACAGCAGTTTACTTACCTTAAGTAATACAGAAATTGGTGTCAGAAGGAGTGCTAATGGATGAAATAGCCAAAATAGGTGACACTCACTAGTTGTGCAATGGGAGGCAAAGAAAGAGTAGGCTGCAAAAATGGTGACCCATGTTTTGCAAAATATTTCTTAATACTGTTTCCTACAGTCATTTAGAAGGCCAAGCAAATATCTTCAGAGCCTGTAGCTCTTTAGGGGAAGCCATTATAAAGCGACAGAATGTTAGTGTGTGTTAGAGTTGACTTCTTTGCTGCTTATAACAAGTTATTACTAGAAAAATATGATCCCTGGCAATAACTGACCAGTTTATAAGCAGAAATGAAAGGAAATAAAGAGAGCCTTCAAATTTGGAAAAGCCTATTGATTTCAGGCCCCAAAAGTGAAAATAAGACTAAGCCAGAAAAAAACAAACAAACAAACAAAAAAACCTCTCTAAAGATTTGAATGGAGAAAAGCCCATTAAAAATTTTCAGTTAAATATAGCAGCTCAACCCTGCAGCAAAGATCAGATGAAGAGTGCAGCCTTTCATCCAAACCTTTTGCTCAGATGGCCTGAAGGTAGCTGTCATTTAATTGAGAGAAAGCTACCGAGAGGAGGAAGCAAATAACTTAGTCTTCAGACTGTGGTCTAGAAAAGAAATTTGGGTATGGTTACTGGCACTTGGAATTTACTGGAAACAAATAAACGAGAAGTTTCAAGGGAATTGTATTACCAAAGAAATCACAAGCTTGAATGAAATAACCTTTGATTGGTTAAGCTTTACTCTTTGGTCCTAAATTTGTATGAGCAGGAAGTGGGCTATGTTAGGTCCAATTTATAGGAGGTCATTAGTTTGGACCAAGCTCCTGCACTAGGCCCAATAGACCAAGCCAAAATGGATTTACTCAGGCTGAAGTTCCACAGAACCAAATCGAAACTAAGTTGTTTATCTGACTTTCCAAGAAATTAGGAGAGAGAGAGAGAGAGATAATAACCCAATCCCCAAACAGGCTAGTTTCAGCCAGCAATGATAACGAAGTCGCCTTTGTTTTAACTTTTCCAAGAAATGTAACTTTGCATCGTCCAGTCTGAGTTTTGTTTTCTGTTTCTGCTTTCCTCAGCCCTTTTTGCCTATAAAACCAACCTCCTCTGCTTGGCTCACCAGGACACACATTCGATTTTCAGGAATGAAGTTTTAGAATAACAAATAAAGCCAATTAAGATCTTTAAACTAAATTTGTTGTAATTTTGTCTTTAGACAGCTATAAAGAGTGTTCAGTCTTCAAGGAGGCCAAAAAGGAAGACGGGTAAGAAAGGATCTCCCAGAGGGTAAGGAGAACTAGACAAGGAATTCCTCCTAGAGAGCAGATTAAGGGACTAGGTGAGGCATATTGCTCCCCTGTCCGGCAGAGGGTCTTCACAGTGGCCACCCAGCAGGCTTCCATCATGCTATTAACCAAGGACTGTGTTCTTTCCATTTTTCTTTTTTCTGAATGAGAGTCTTATTGCAGATGTCAAGATCCAATTCCACCATAGTATATAGATGTATGTTAGGGGGCAAATAACTGGTCTCTTAATTAATAAATTGCTAGATTATGAGGAACTACATATAGACCTGATTGAAAAGACGTGACCTCAAGTGGCCTGGACTTTAAGGTAGATGTAGCGACTGCATGGGACTTTGGGGTTTCTTCCTTGAGGAGGGCATGAGTGGACTCTCCACGGGGGAAGAAGGGTACAAATGGACAGCTGGTGTCCAGAAGGGTGGATTATGATACACTGACAGCTATTTACTAAAAATCCATTTCTATTTCTTCCTGAACACAGCTAGCCCACACTTCCCTGGCTGTATGAGCAGTGATTGGCTACGTGATTGAGTTCTAGCCAACAAAATGTGAGTGGAAGTGATGTGGGCCATTTCCAGGCAGAGAAGCTGGTATGTCCCCTCCCGCTGTCATCCCCTGCCTGCTGGCTGGATACAGATCATGAGATCTGAGGCCCCACGGTATGGCTCAGCCATCAGTTGGAAGGCACCTGGGTTTCTGAAGCATCGCATGGAGAGCTGTCTTCAGCTGGATGTTGGGTAAGTGAAAAATAAGCTCTTATTGTTTTTGAGCAATTATAATATTTTGTGTACTTGTTATCAAAGCTTAGTCTGCTCAATTAACATAAGAAGTGAATGATCTGTCTCTGTGTGCCTGTTTAACTCTTTCTCTCTCTGCAGCCTGGCTTTTGTTGCTCCTCTTTAACCCAGGTGGTGTTAGCTGGAGCTTCCCTTTCACTTGAGGTCTAGGTGAAATGAATGAACTCCCAGTTCCTTATCCTGTGTGTATCCAAAGCCTTTCCCAGGAAGTCTCAGAACTCCTAATGGAGCTTCTGTTCTTATAGAATCCTTTCCTCCTTGAAGTCTTCAGCTCAATGGTCTCTGTTCTGTTCCAGCTTTTTTTTTTTTTTTTTTTTTTGAGTTACACACACATGCACACAAACTTCTCCCTTCCTTGAGAGGTTGTAGTCACAAATTGGTGAAGAAGAAATGGAGGAGGAGCTTACACCCAGAGTAGCTGTAAACCTCAAATAAACAGTTGGTGTCACCATTCTTAAGCTACCAAACACCGGTGAGTATCCCTGGTCCTTCAGTTCACCTAGTTCCAACCTGTCTCCTTAATTTTCACTCTTCTCTCTCCTGTCAGTGGAGAAGAACCCAAACTCTGTGAAATAATTTAAAGAGGTTTATTCTGAGCCAACTATGAAGATCATGGTCTGGAGCCATGCCCAGGAAGCTTTGAGCAAGTGGTTTCACTGTGGTTGGGTAACAGTTTGGTTACCTAGACTAATAATTGGGTGTCTTTTCAAATCAATATTTGGAGGGGAGGCAGAACCCTGCCTTGGATGGAGGAAAAGCAAGGTAGGAGAACCACACTCAGCCTCTACTCTGTCATCCTGAGCAATTCAGCTGGTAGTATTATAAATTTATTTTTACCTTGTTTTACATGTACTTAATGTAATGTGACCATTTTAGTCCTGGAAGTAAATGAACTTTGGTCTCCAGCAGAGTTGTAGTGTACAGTACAATTCAGCTCAGGCTCCTATATGCTTACCTCACTGAGTAAAATAAAAGAACTGTTTAGTTCAACCCACCCTTTTTAGAAGCCAACTATCTGTTTTGATGCAATCATGTCTCTGGGGGCTCCCTCGGACCCCATGTGTCTTATTTTTTACAAACATATCCTTCTCTTTCTGGGGAAGTTTTGGTACCCACAAATTTCCTATTTTCTTCACATTTTCAGTGACATTTTTATATACCTGAGTGAAGTTTTCACTACTGCTTAGAGACTGGCATTCTAGACAGCATCTACCAGCTTCCACCTAATAAAGCATTGCTCAACTCTTTTGTCCGTTTTAGAAGAAAAACTAAGAAAATTTTTTCTTTGTCCCAAGCAGAGTGGCTTCCCTCCTCCTCTAATGTCTTGGCACCAACTTATGTTTGTTATTGAAGGATTCCTTTAAGCAGCTTATCAAGCAGTTTATTACTTTCCCATAAAAAGATAATTCTTTCTCTTACCTCCTTTCTCTTTTATTTATTTATTTTTTATTATTATCATTTTTGAGACAGGGTCTTGCTTTGTTGGCCAGAGTGAGTGCCGTGGCGTCAGCCTAGCTCACAGCAACCTCAATCTCCTGGGCTCAAGCAATCCTCCTGCCTCAGCCTCCAGAGTAGCTGGGACTACAGGCCCGGCTAATTTTTTGTATATATATTTTTAGTTGGTCAATTAATTTCTTTCGATTTATAGTAGGGACAGGGTCTCGCTCAGGCTGGTTTTGAACTCCAGACCTTGAGCAATCCGCCCGCCTCGGCCTCCCAGAGTGCTAGGATTACAGGCGTGAGCCACCACGCCCGGCCTCCTTTCTCTTTTAAACTGGCCAAGCCCTAGAAGGACATCCACAACTCCTTTTAATGGTTCCCCCGATACAAGGTTGTTGGATTTAACAAATAAGATTACAGGGCACCGTGTTGAATTTAAATTTCAGATAAGCAAGGAATAATGTTTACAAGTCCCATGCAATATTCGGGCCTTCTATTAGAAAATTATTCATTGCTTACCTGAAATTGAAAGTTAGCTGTGTATTCTATATTTTATTTGTCAACCTATACCTACAGTTGCTTGCTGAGGGAATGGTCTTAATGTCGTCTTTACACACAGGTAGGTGGTCATGCTCTGTATCATAGAACCCTACCCCTGCCTCTTCCCCAGGGTCATGGCTGATTGGATCAGGAATAAGCACTTGACCCAAGGGCAGCTAGTGCATAGGTCGGCCCACAGCCTATACGGTGGCCTGGCACAAGAGGGAAATAGTGATTAAGTGAACTAATCAGATGTTCTCTCTCAGAAGTTTGAGCTCAATAAGAGAAAATGAAAGAATCAGAATCTACAACTCTGATAGCAACAGAAGGGAAAGATACACAGAGAGAAAGAAGCAGTAAATAGAATTCATGAAGCAGTAGAAGCCCTGAACAAGCAGCTGTGAGGCGAGGGGAGGAGGATAGAGAGGAGGGACTGGGAGCAGCAGGAGCAGTAGAAGAAGAAGAAAAGAGAAAGGACATGGCCGAGTCATTCCACAAGAGACCAGCAAGCACTGGTTCTGAGAGTCCTTACGTAAGCCTGCTGATTTGAACTACAACCTTCCAGTTCCCAAACCCAGAACCAAGCTCTCCAAGACCCAGCTGGGCCATAGTTCTTTTTCTTTCTATGTAGTCTGGTGGTTTAGTTTGGTTTACACTAGAGGCCTTCCTACTTCTTTCTCATTTCTGTTTCTACCCTTACAAGGGATCTCCATAATTTCTGGTACAGAGTTAACCTAACCCAGAAGGGAGGCACTCTTAGCCCTGCATAGGCTCCTCTGTACCCCCTTCCAGGGGAAGAGGAGTCCCCCCTACCCCTACCCTATCTCTTACTGTCATGCAAATCTCCGGATACTGATGCTGGAACCAACGTAGGATCTTTGGACCCTATACCTTCTCCCTCTGCCTGCCCCTGTGAAATCTCACTTCTGGCATCTTCCTGTCCCATTGACCTAGGATTAGCACAGTGCCTGGCACATGCCTGGAGACCCATGAATGCACAAATGTCTTCCATTTCTTTTGGGTTAAATGGTTGTGGTGTAGAGGAGTTAGAAGTCTTGCATGATGTAAGTTCTGGCTCTGCAACCTCCTGCCTGTGTAACCAAGGGCAAGCTACTCAAATCCTCTAAACTTCCATTTTCTCCTCTGTAAAAAGAAGGTGGCATAATCTACCCATTAGGGCTGCTGTGAGGTTTAAAACAGCATATGTGTGGAAGCCTCTACATAATAATCCCTCCGAAAATCTTTACTGTATCGGAGTGTAAGGAAGCTGCATTTTATAAGACCTCATATAAGTAGAAAACAAGCAAATAAACAAATGTCAAGATACAAGATTCCTCCTGGCAAAGGATGGCGACCTTTTATGCTGGACACCTGGCAAGAGAAGAAGCAGAGTTTATAGCTTGCTGGACTTTCAGGTTGAAAATTTTGCAATTTGGACAAATTTTAAATTTTAGATTATTTGAATTATTTTCAAAATTTCAACAAATGAGACTTTATCATTAGTTTTATATTAAGCTCTTTCAAATAGTCCCAGATCAAATTTGCTTAAAGTGTCCTTGCCCCAAACTTCATGATTTGAGAGAGAAGAAAATGAAAAATGCATTTTTCGATGCAAAATGGATGGTTTTTTATGGTCCTGCACAGCTGCATGTTCCAGCATCACATTAGCCTCTGGAGCTGCTCAGCCTTCACTCTGGAATTTTTAAAATGTCATAACAGTATGCTTTCAAAATAGTATGTTCATGCACCCCCAGCGCCCCCCCCCAGTGTGTAATATTGTCAGGATGTTTTATCTGGTGCCATGTATCTTGTACATGACAAACCATTTCCCCAAACAAACCATCACATATGTCCATACTGTCTATAAATTTTGATTCCTGACATATACACTATTACCCTCTGACATTTGGATTGGCCTGAGTTGGGCATAATTGTGGGGGGAGGCAATGTTTTTAAGGAATGAAGGGATGTCACTCTTTTCTTCCTGATGGGTCCCCTTTGGAGAAAGTGATGTCAGGAACATGCAAGAGTTAGCCCTGCTGGAGAAAGCCCCAGATACTCTCCCCCGGGGTACCAGGAGATTAAGCAGTCCAGATCTGCAAGCATCCCCACTTCTGAGGGTGATAACAAGGTCACCCTGTTCTTAGGTTTGGCTTCAGAATAATACATCTGGCATCAATAGAGTTTCTTTTTTTCCAAAGTGCTTTCCTATTTATGATCTCATTTTGCCCTTACAGGAAGAGGAAAGGAAGCTGGTTAGGGCAAACAAACCTGAGTTTCCCTTGTTCCGTGGCTGGGCAAGTCACTTCACCTTTCTTCAGTTTAGTTTCTTCATCTGTAAAATGGTGTCATAATCGATGTTGGCCGCACTGAATTATATAAGAGCAAATGTGCCTATGGCTTGGGCAGGGAAGTGCTTGGGGAGATACAAAGTGCTCTAGACAGGAATTCACTGTGATGGTAAAAGTCATTTACATACCCTGGAAGTTGTAGAGCTGCAAGGGACCTAAGAAATAACACAGCAAAGAGGTTTTCAGCCTTTATCCTGTGAAGACACACAAATGAACCATGGGCATGAATGGGGCACAGTACTTTGATAGGCTCAGATTTTTGGTCTCTTAGTTTAAGTGACTCCTAAACTGTAGGCCAAATGCCATTGCTGGCATTGGGTCCTACTCCACCCTCTTAAGAAAGCATATCAGAAGACAACTGAGGGAGGGTAACCCTGATTTCACTCTGATTTATTTTCCAAAAATGCAAACACAGGTTTCTTACGTGGAACAAAACCCGGACCCAAACTGCCTTAACTCGGTTAAAAATTATTGACTTGTGAAATAAAAGCATATTCAGGAGTTAGATGCTTCAGTCATGGCCGAATCCAGGGGCTCAAATGGTTTCATCAGGACTTCTATGTTGTTTCTCTTTGTATTGACACTGTCAGACAGAGTCTCTTCATGAATGATAAATGGCTGTTGGCAGGCTTAGGCTTGTATCCTCGAAGCTTAGCACCCTCTCTGAAAAGAGAGCTTTCTTTCCCCAATAGGTTTAGTGTAAGTTCCAGGATTAAGACTCACTGGACTGATTTGGAATCAAGTTTCTTATCCCTGAATCAGCCACTGTATTCAGGGCAATGGGATATGCTGATTGGCTAGAACTGTATCATCTGTCTCTTTCTCTCTCTCTCTCTCTCTCTCTCTCTCTCTCTCTCTCTCTCTCTCTCTCTCTCTTTCTCTCCAGGATAGGAGAATGGGGGATGGGTCAGCCTCATTTGAACTATATGGACTAAGAGGAGGTATGGAGTATTCCCCAAAGGAAAATTGAGGGGTCGTAACTAGAAAATGAGGGAACAGAAGCTTAGTGGGCAAAGCCAACAGGTGTTCATTACAGTAAACATGAAACTTGGACAATTATTAGTAAGCAATTACTTACAGCATGTGTTCTAAATGGGGTTGTGATTTACCAGTGTGCTAGAACTGGTGTGGTCGAAAACTTCTGATGTAATTCAACCTGCTCATCTTAAAGATTTTGTTGCCATTTGATAAGCTTGTTTGGGGCATGCTGAGCTGAAGTTTTGTTTGTGCTTTTCACATTTCATTACAGGTTTCCTTAGCGTAAGGAGCCAACCCGAGGGCTCTGATCACAAGTTTCCCAAGAGAGAAATTGCTCCTCCAAAGGTGAAAAGCCCTGCTTTATATAGATGGCATCTGTACTTCTTGCAGTGGAAAACAAAATCTGACAGAATTTAATACTAATACCTTTGATTTCTCAACTTTTTCATGACCCAGGGGTGGTAGAAGAAGTGCAAGTTTTATCACCTAGATTTAGAGATAAGGAAATTGAAATGGAGAGAGAATTGGGCTCATGTGTAGGCAGCATGGCTAGCTACCTCCATGGTGTGATTTGAGGCACTTTACAAGGTCTACCTATTACAGTAAACCTGTAAAATAAGCAGTCTCTGCCACTGAAGTGCTTTCTTAATGAGAAGTGTGCAGTTTAAAGGGATCAAGACATTAGATTACCTGCAGGTCAATGTGTAATTAATGCATTTTAGGAATCAATTTAATTCAGCAAATCATTTGAGGACCTGCTATTAGTTGTATCACTGAGAGTGCTTTAGGTTACAAGTACAGGCATATCTCAGAGATAATGTGGGTTCGGTTCCAGACCACTATAATAAAGTGAATATCACAATAAAGTGAGTCACACAAAGTTTTTGGTTTTCTAGTGCGCATAAAAGTATGTTTTTTTTTTCTTTTTTCTTTTTCTTTTTGAGACAGAGTCTCGCTTTGTTGCCCAGGCTAGAGTGAGTGCCATGGCGTCAGCCTAGCTCACAGCAACCTCAAACTCCTGGGCTCAAGCAATCCTACTGCCTCAGCCTCCTGAGTAGCTGGGACTACAGGCATGCGCCACCATGCCCGGCTAATTTTTTTCTATATATATTAGTTGGCCAATTAATTTCTTTCTATTTATAGTAGAGATGGGGTCTCGCTCTTGCTCAGGCTGGTTTCGAACTCCTGACCACGAGCAATCCGCCTGCCTCAGCCTCCCAGAGTGCTAGGATTACAGGCGTGAGCCACTACGCCTGGCCAAAAGTATGTTTACACTACAGTGTAGTCTGTTAAGTATGCAATAGCATTATGTCCAAAAATATATATATATATCTTTATTTTAAAAATACTTTATTGCTAATAAATGCAGGCACTGAGACACAAAGTGAGCATACGCTGTTGGAAAAATGGCGCCCATAAACTTACTCTATGCCAGGTTCCCACAAACCTTCAATTTGAAAAAAACTTAATATCTTTGAAACACAATAAAATGAAGTGCAATAAAACGAGGTATGCCTGTAATAGAAAACCTAATTCCAATAAAAACCCAGTTCCAATTTATTGACAACCCGAGTGGCAATGTGACTTTCAGGTGAGGCTTGCTCCAGAAGTTCACCAATATTACCAAAGACTCAGTTTTTTCTTTCTTTCTTCTCAGACTTCCAGTTTATCTGCTTCATGCTAAGACCGGCTGCCTCAGTAATCACAGGGTGGCTGCCAGAATGTTCCAAGAGCTACGTGCTTTCTTATCTACACCCAGGGTGAGCAAGCAGCTATCCAAGAAGTTTGTAAGGGTGAGGCAATGCTTTCCCAGAGAGCATCTGCTCACATCTTCCCTAGTTCAAACTGGGCCATGTACTGCCTGTTCCTAAACCAAACTTGGGGGTCAGGAGGAGGGGAAATCAAAGACCATGCCTGGCATCACCTTCCCCAGAGAAACCTGGGCTGCGGTGGAGGGTAGGGGTCTTGCTTGAATGCAAAGCCATGTACTGTTACCAGGAGGAAGGGGAGCAAATGCAAAAATGCATCTCATCAGGAGCTGGATTTTTGTTAATGGGCAGAATGGTACCTATTATTTGTAAGTATAACAAAGGTAATCAAGTTTCAAGGGGAGAAGAGAGAAGAATTTTAATTTTAAGCATGTTGAGTTTGAAGTGTCTGTAGAATATTTGGACAGTGCTGTTGAGGAGCAAGTTAGGAATAAGGACCTAGGACTCTGAAACTCAGGTTTGGGCTGGAGCTATTGATATGGTAACTAAAGCCATGACAAGCACCCCAGGGTGGGGCAGGGAGTGACGAGGAGCTCTGAGACCCATAGAGGTGGGAAAAGGAAGGGTGGCCAGAGGGACTGAAACTGCAGGCGAACACTGTATCGAGAGGGCCTTGGGAGAGAGCAGGTCATGAAGGAGGAAGGGGTCATCTCTGAGGGAAGAGGCTTCCACAGTTTGGCAACAGGTAGGTCACTGGTCTCCAAGGAGCGGTGCAGTCAGGTGGAGGAGTCAGCTGGGGAGTGGGGTGGGATGTGGTGGGGTGGTGACAGAGATCTCACTCAGCAGAGCCTGTCGCTAAAGGCCAAGAGCAAAGGAAGACAGGACGGAGAAGGCTGTCTTTTTCCTGAAAGGGCTTTTATATATTTTTTGAGACAGAGTCTCACTCTGTTGCCTGGGATAGAGTGCCGTGGCATCAGCCTAGCTCACAGCAACCTCAAAGTCCTAGGCTCAAGCAATCCTTCTGTCTCAGCCTCCTGAGTAGCTGGGACTACAGGCACACGCCACCATGCCTGGCTAATTTTTTCTATATATTTTTAGTTGTCCAATTAATTTGTTTCTATTTCTTAGTAGAGACAGGGTCTTGCTCTTGCTCAGGCTGGTTTCAAACTCCTGACCTTGAGTGATCCTCCCGCCTCAGCCTCCCAGAGTGCTAGGATGACAGGCGTGAGCCACCACGCCTGGCCCCCTGAAAGGGCTTTGAAGAGGATGAGGACTTTTTGTAGCAGGCTACTTAGCCTGATGATACTCCTCTCTCTGGACAGGGGAGGCAGGTGTGTGCCGTGTCTACTACAGGATCACAGCATACAGACCCCGATACTTCCTCCTCCCAGACTAGGTGAGGGCTGATGCCATCCTGGACTGCCTGTCTGTAATGCGTTCAGGTCCCCAGGCACCTTCCACTCTTCCCATCCACCCTGCGGCCAGCCCTGGGGCATCTTCCAGCGGCAGCCTAGGTCTCTTCATCGCTGTCCCCCTCCCACCTCTCCCTGAAGGCAGGTACTCCAGCCCCTTGAAACTGCGCAGGAGGACTCCCAGGCTGCCTGATGTTTACACTGCGAGGCACAACAGTCCAGCCTCCCCAAACCCTCTCCCTTTCAAGTCTGGATTCATCTTGCAACTTGACCTTCATCTGTTTCAAAATCCCTCTTTGACCTGTGGGAGGGCCCAGGCCTCAGGAGGGTCTCTAACAGGCCTTAACCCCTTTATCCCTTCAGTCTTCCTGTCTCAAGGGACCCACAGCCCTTTTTCCTTTCAATGTGCTGCTGACCCTGCCCTGCTGGCCCTGTCCTCCACTGCCTGTGCCCTGGACACAGCCTCGACTGCTGGCTGGAGCCTGAGGACAAGCGGCGGAGACGGGGCCCACGTCAGAGGTGTCCTGCCCAGCTTCTCTTTCACCTCTGCAGTTCTGTCATTACTTCCAAGAGGCCCAACGAGGGTGTTTTTGAGGCTTGGTGAAGGGAGGGGAGAGTTCATGGGTTCTCAGGAATGTTATGGTTCTCAGGAACATTATGGTTAATGCCTCTAATTAGCGCCCAGAGGGGTCCTGCTCCCTCTGGCCTGCTGGGCTGTAATCATCTCTCCTCGCTCTGCCTCAGACAGGGCTCTGGAAGGTGCAAGAGCATTCCAGGAAATGGCAGGAAGGTCTCTGAGGAGTTTAAGTAAGCGCTTGGCCAGGACTAAAGTCTGCCTTTATCTGGGCCCTGGGTGATGACTTTTGTAACGGGGGAGCGATTAGCTTCTTCTTGGGAATCCACATTCCACCCCACACCCCGATAGTACAGGATCAGCTACTTAGGCTTCCAAGTGCTTCAGACCTTGAGTTCTACGTCTGTCTATTTTGAGCCAGAGATTGACTTTAGCAGAAATTCACCGAGACTGACCTCCTCTGTGCTCAGCACTGTGTACCAATCGCATGGCCACACACGTAGATTTTTATCTTTAACTTCCTTCTTATCTGATGCTAAGGGTCCAGCTTCAAAGATAAGACTTATGCCAGTAAAAGAAGTAGAGAACCAATCAACTTTGTATTCAGTTCTGGAAGGAATACAAGCAAGGCAATACAAGCAAGGGAGTCAGTGTAGTTTAAAGCTGTGCTGTCTAATATGGTGGCCACCAGCCACATGCAACTATTTAAATATAAATTAAGTAAAATGAAATAAAATTAAAAATTCAGTGTGTCAGTCATACCAGCCATAGTAGGTGCTCAACAGCCTTATGTGGCTAGTGGCCACCACATTGGACAGTGCAAATTAACTTTCTCACTATGCAGAAAGTCCTATTGGACAGTGTTGGCCTAGAGTAATAGAGGCCAACTTCAGAATATAGGTATGGCTCCACCTGGGCCTGGAAGTATAACAGAATAGAAGAGGAGGGGAAGGGCCTTACATGTGGGAGAAACTGTTCAGAGATTGGAATGAACCTAGAATGAACACCAAGTAGGGAGCGGACTAGCTGGAGTAGAGCATTCCTTTTAGGGAATACTCCCATCCTTGGTAGCTACCATTTAATTCTCTGTTTCTGTGTATTTGACTTTTTTGTTTTCCTAGATTCCACATGTAAATGAGATCATGCAGTATTTTTCATTCTGTGCCTGGCTTATTTCACTTAGCGTAATGTCCTGCAGGTTCATCTGTTGCAAATGGCAGACTCTCCTTTTCAAGCTGAATAATATTCCATTTTGTGTATATACACACTTCTTTACATATATATCTCATTATATGTATTTCTATATCTCATTTTATATATGTATATATGTGTGTACATATACATATATAAATCTCTTTGTCTATTTATCTGTCAACAGACACGTAGGTTGTTTTCTACATCTTAAGCCTGTTTGCAGTTGACAGGCCCTGGGACCTGGTGATCATGGTGTACAACATTAGATTTTTTACCTATCATTTTCCCCCCCCTGTCCTTAATATTAATACACAGCTGATTCCAATCCCACCTAACTTCAAAGAAAGGAAGGAAGACCTGGTTGGTGGTGAGGTCATGTGATAGCAGCTTTTGTTTTGCTCTCTTTCCATTTAAGAGTAGCTCCTCCTCTGCTTGAAGCTGTTGGGAGGCCTCTCGTCCCAGAGCTGGGGGGAGCCATGGGGACAGGCTGTTTTCACAGCTGTGCTGAACTCCAACCCCAGAGCTGTCCATCCCCCTGCTCACATACTCTGGAGACTCTGGCAGAGAGGGAAAGGATGTAAATCATGCCCTCCCACATACATTCAGAGCTCATTTGTCTCCGAGCCTCACCCAGGGGCCTCTTAAGCTCCCACTATTAAGGAGTGAGCCAAAACTGTGGGAAAGGTGACTCTTTAGCATAATAGTAAAGACTACCCCCATGCGCACATCTACTCTGGTGTCTGCAGGTGTGCCTTGCTTTACACAATAAGGGCATTGACAAAACACTAGACTGATGGGACCCCACGCTGGCCAGGGCCACCCCCTCCCATGTGGAGGAGGAAACTGCTTTTCTCATAAGTTTAGTGAACTAGATGGTCTCCAAAGGCTCCTCTGGTTCTGATAGTCTATGATTTTATGAAGATGTATAGATATCAGATTTTTAGAATGTACTGTGGGAGCTCACCAGGAATAACAGGGCTAATGTTTATTGTGTTCTTTCTGTGCTCCAGACAGTGCAAAGTGCTTTTCTTGTGTTCTTTCATTTAGTCTTCAAAATAGCCTTCAGAGCCAGGTATCCTTTTTCCCACTTTACAGATGAGGCTTAGAGAGGAAGAGTAAGTTGGCCAAGATCTCACAGCTAGTAAGGGGCAGAACAGGCTTTCCAACCTGGCGGTATCTATTTGATGTCAAGGCTTGTGATGTTAAATATCTATGATAAGATAAACTGCTTTCGCTGTTTGTGACTCAATTGCAGGTTAAGCTTTGGTCATCTCCAAGGACTAAGAGCTTGTGGAAAACCAAAAATAGGCAGTGTGCGTGTCACACTTGACACGTGAGTCCAGGGATACCAGCCGACAGAGGACTTCAGTTTGTAGAGTGTTTTGCTTTGCAAGATCTGTTGGCCTGGGATCCACGGAGGCCTGCAGGTTACCATGGCCCAGCCCACCAATTAGCAATCAGCTAGATAAGCTGATGTACTGCACAGCAGAGTGAACCAGATGGCACTTTATAGAAACAAGTAAGGCCCAACTCCTCATACTTGGGGAGGTGAAGGGCTTCATTCACAAGACTGCATGCTGTTCCCTGAACTTCTGTGCTCTGATGCAACATGCAGACTTTATTTCTCTTTGAAATCTGCAGAGGCCTTGGTGCATCTCCTGCTTATTTTGCGAACTTAGATCAAAGGGAGGCCACATAGAGGACCCACAGCCTCCTCCTCACTCTGCTGCTCCCCTGATAAGCCCTGCAAACCCACAAAGAACTCAGTTGCCCAAAGTATCTGTCTGACTGGTCTTTCTCTCTCTCTCTCTCTCTCTCTCTTTCTCTTATTTAGGGCCATGTAGAATGGTGGTATTTTGTGCAGACAGCAAATGCACCAACACCTCATGTATGCCTGAAATAACCGGATTAAGGGTCCCAAATTCAAATGCTTCCAGGAACTAGGCAGGTAGCATGATGAATGAGGCCTACTGGGTGGGCGTCGGGTGGTACTATTCAACTCTAGCCTGTTCATTGCAAAATTTAAGCAGGAACCATGGGCCCAATGTTAAAAGATATTGGGGGATAAACATCTCTTCATTTTTATGAGTTTGCAACTATTTAAAAGAGAATCTTAAAATACATGTAGAGCAAACTAAATCAATCTATGGGCTAGAATCAGTCCATGGTACCCAGAATCACCTAATTCTTTACTTTGTTGTGTGTGTGAATACAGCCTTTGCTCTT